TGGACATGCTGATCTCATTCGGAATCAGCGTCGCAGCCCTCATCCTCAGATGGCTGTTCGCTGCAGTCAGCTGATTCCGGGTCATCCTCCACGACCGTCTTGCGCTTGAGGCGCTTTCTTTCTTTTAACCGGTGTAGTGGCCATGTCGGTCTGCCACGAGGGCGTTTCGGCTGTGCAGGAGCGTCCTGTGATGGCTCCTTTCTCTTCCTGCCCACTCGGCTCACCCACAGGTTGCCATGCTGGACATTCTCCCTCATTGCGGGGAATTCCGGTATTTCTCCTCGGACTTCGGAAACTCTGCTGGCTGGGGCCTGCGTGTGTAGACTGCTGTCGCTGTGGGATGGGGCTCGTCTTCACGGGCCGTATCGACTTCGCCGTGCTGCATCTTCTGCTGCGCCAATCCGTCCCCCTCCTCTTCCTGCTGCATTTCCTCTTCCTCCCCGCCTTGCACTGCACCTTCCTCTTCTTCTTGGTGCTCCATCTCCTCTATCTCCTGTGGTTGCACCATGCCCTCCGCCTCTTCTTCCTGTTCCATGTAATCTCCCACCTCAGCCTGGTGCTCCTCCTCCTCCTCTTATCCTTCTTCCTCAACCTCTAATGCCTGATTGATCTGTTGTTGGTGCTCCCTGGCTTGTTTGAGACCTCTCTCGATCTCTCTCCGGGTCGGGATAGCTGCACGGCGGGCCTCCTCCTCCATCATACGTTTGTTGACGAGTTCGGTCTCCCGGTCAGCCATAGCCTTGACACGGTTTGCATCCTCCTCATCTTCGTCCACCCTCGTTTCCAGCAATGTCTTGACATCCGTGTCCAGCCGTGCGAACTCGACATCAGGTTGCGGATTGTACAGTGCAGTTTCCCTTACCCCGGGCTCCGTCGCTGCCGGTCGTGGCTCTTCTCTGCGTTGTCGTCTGGTCCGCCTCCTTCCGACGTACGTCGTGCCTGGGACAGACGGCTCCGATCGTAGCTCAAAATCGAAGTCATCGTCGTCATCCTCTTCGTTGCCACTCAAGTCCTCCGACTATCCGCACTTCCCCTTCCACAGCTCGTCATCCAAATCACTGTCATCTGTGAGCTCTTCGTCCTTGTCCTCGATATTTTTTGGAACCCTTCCCTTCGGAGTCTTTGTGAGCCTCCGTTCCCGTACAAGTTCCTCCTCTGTCTTCTCAGCCTCATCCTCGGGCCCCTTCGACACCGATCCATCGTTCTCTTCAGGCTCCGGGGCGGGCTCGACGAAGTCACACCACAAGTCCACAAATCCGTTGTTCTTAGTCTCCGGAACACGCAGTAGCTGCATGTTCCAGTGTATGTACACTAGCTTCGCCAATCTTTCTGGCGACAACTTGTTCCTCCGTTTGGAATGGATGAAGTCCATGGAAGCCCAATTCCTTTCCGCCGACGATGCGGTGCTCCACATGCCCATAACCTTGATCGCAACCTTCTGCAATTCGGGCACGTCTCCACCGTGTGCTGCCCACCATTCTGACGGTGTCTTCTTGTCAACATCGGCCTTCGTTGTGGGGTCCCACATCTTCGTGTCATTCCTTTTCGAGCCGTTCCTTGTGGGTTTGGTGTGGAACTCATTCAGGCCACTCCAAATGTCAAGGTGCGCTTGCCCTTTCCATTCACCTCCAACCTGCCTCGAGAGAAAGCGCATGGTATTCTGCACAAGCGCACTGTCTTGGTCATGCAACCACCTCGGTTCTCTCCTACGCGGGTCGAAAAGAAAGGCTGCTGCGTGGGCGGGCTGCCGCATCATCTTCATGCGATCTTTGACTTTCTCCATCACGCTCGCCCGCTGCTCCACCTTAAGAACGACATGGCTAAGCTTCCTCTCTATCATGTCGTCCTATCATGTCGTCACACTCGACAAGGTTTGTGAGACCGGTACCGTCGTGATCCATCCGCCTCAAGAGGCCGTACACTGGCTCCATCACCTCAACCACATTGTTCAACCCCGTCCACCACTCATCACTCCTCAATGTGAAGTACACCAGATCCGATCTGGCCCTCAACTTCGACATGGACCATCGGATCGCATTCCACTTTACTGCATTCCGCCCGTTGACCATGTCCTTCAACACCGCCCTCCTGTCGTATATGCTTTCCAACATTTGGTAGACTGACCCGAAGCGCACCTCCGTGGGCCGAAGAAGAGACAGCGAATCGTCCACTGTCATCACCAGATTGTTTGTGCTGTGGTGATTTCTGATGAACTTGACGATTGTGTGGCCCCTCTTAACGGTGTGCTTCACCCAATCGAGTTTGCTGAGGTCGCGCAAGAGAAAGCTGCAGCAATGCGCAGCGCAAGGAAGCCACGAAATCCTTGTTACCTCCTTTTCCGCTCGTCGCTCCAGGATCTGAGCCGCCCTTTTGTTGACCTCTGCGTTGTCAGTGCAGATCGCATTGATTCGACGGAGTCCGATTTCCCTCATGATCTGCTCCCAAAGTTTCGCCAATGCAGGTCCGGTCTTCTTCCTCCCGGACATTGACATCGTCGCCACCAAAACTGCCCCATCCACCCCGGCTGCCAAGAAGTTCATCACGGGCCTCTCCCGACGATCACTCGATCCGTCTATGATGAAAGTACACCCGCTCACATCCCAACAAGTCGTCAACGGCTCCACCGTCTTCTGCACTCGCATGTACACAATGTCCAACATGACGGTCATGTGGTTGAAGGAGGGCAGTTTCACCTGCGGTCTTGACTTTGCCACCTGCAGGTACACTTCATGGAGTTTCTGGGTGGTATCGAAGTTCAGGAAGTTGAACGGGATCCTAGCATGAAACATGGCCTCCGCCCATGCAATGTCCAGTTTCTTCTGCGCATCGTTTTCCACCCACCTTCTTATTGTTGACTGCTGCAATGAGGACAGCCGTGTGTTCGACCCCGACGCCTCACCCCCTGCCGCCTCCAAAACATTCTCCTTGTGCAAATCCCCTGCATCACATGGTGGAGCAGCCCTGCCCGCAGTGGGCGGTTGCTGTGGCTCAAGGTATGCGGGAACTTCAACCATCTCGTCGGCCTTCTCCGTCTGATCGACCCCCCCTTCCGGAATCCCGTGCAGCTGCCTGTAATTCTTCAGCAAGTACCGCGTATTCTTATCACCCGGCAGCACTCTCCCCCCGAAGTTGACGAGCTCATTCACCATTTCCCCTGTGCGCGATGGACACGGCTTCTGCGTCTTCAGGTAATGTTCCACCGCTCTTGAGCTCGTGCCCCTCCAAATCTGCATGCACAACCGACACCTCACCCAATACTCGCCTCTCCCTTTCACCCCGGCTTCCTGACCCTGTTCTGCGTACTTCCACACAGGCTTCTCCCTCTGCAACTTGTCCTGCTTCGCCTTGTTTTGTGGAACGAACAGCGAAGGGTCCATTGTCGGCGTGGGGTCTTTGGAGGTCACTGTGGATGTGGGTGTAGCGGAGGTGCTTGCAAGTTTTTCTTTTCCTTTTTCTGCTGCCGTTTTGCCCCTCCTCCGTCCAGACCCGTCACTCCCCCCTCCGATGTCACTAGCACCGCCCGCCATAGTGTCATGGAAGTAGAGGATGCAAGGACAACCAGCGAGGGAAAAACCAAGTTCAAATATCGGAAGAAGAAGAAGAAGAAGAAGACGAAGAAGAAGAAGAAGTAGTAGTAGTAGAAGAAGAAGAAGAAGAAGAAGAAGAAGAAGAAGAAGAAGACTTAGGCAGGAAGAGGAGAAAGGAGGAGGAGAA